CAGTTTGTTAACTGATTTCGGAGAGTTTACACACTATCTTGAATTTCCTATCCTAGCTGATTTTGGGACATTTAAGATTAATGCTTTGAGCTTACATGAGAGCTGTTTAGGAATTTTAAAATTACTGTTTTAGGGCAGATTTTGAGATCTTTGTCAATTGTTTTGGGGCTGATTTTGAGAGCTTTGTCTACTGTTTTGGAGGCATTAAACCCACCATCTGCGGGGTTGTTTTAATCAATGTTTTGAGGCATTTTGGTGAGATAATTTTGAGGCGATCTACACATTATTTTGGCGAGCCTTTAGGTGCTGATTTACATGCAGTTTAGAATTGATTTTTCGAACCCCTTTTTGCCCACTGTTTTGGGTTTCAATTGATTGTTATTTAAACGCTTTTAGGTCGATCCATTCATTGTTTTCTCCCTTGACTTTACTAGTTTTGGAAATGAGTCTGCCTCATCTTTCTTTTGTTTTACTTCTTTTTAAATGATTAAGTCATAAAGATGGGGATTGATGATTTAATTAATTGAAATATATAGAAAATCTTCAATCACCTTAAGCATAAGTTAAAGAGTAGGCTTCCTTGAGTTTTAGGAGCACACCCTAGGTGAGAGTCCATCCACCCAATCCTCAGCATGGTTTTCCTAGATTTTAGGAGCACACCCTAGGTGAGAGTCCATCCACCCAATCCTCAGCATAGGCTTCCTAGATTTTAGGAGCACACCCTAGGTGAGAGTCTATCCACCTAATTCTCAGCATAGGCTTCCTAGATTTTAGGAGCACACCCCAGGTGAGAGTCTATCCACCTAATTCTCAGCATAGGCTTCCTAGATTTTAGGAGCACACCCCAGGTGATTCTCAGCATAACTTCCTAGATGTGTGATCCCATCCACCTAATTCTCAACATAGACTTCCTAGATTTTAGGAGCACGCCCTAGGTGAGAGTACATCCACCTAATTCTTAGCTCAGACTTCCTAGATTTTAGGAACACACCCTATGTTAGCGTTCATCCACCCAGTTTTTTTTTTGAATGAATAATGAAACATGTCACTAGAGTCTGATTCACAAACTGATTAAGACACTAGACATTAGGATGCACCGAGGCGTAGTTCATACTTCCTTAATTAAATCAACAGTGAAATTCCTGCAATGACTTAACCTACAGTGAAACCCAGTGCATCGAGATTTGAGCTTGAATATTACACTCAAATCCTCCTAACAATTGAGAAAATTTGTTAACGCCACATATGGATCATCGAACTAGGATGAGTCTAGGGTCTAGGTGGCGAGGGAGATGATGACATTGCTTATGTGTGCTTAAACGATGGATACAAAGTGAGATTATTAGAATAGTATCTCCTACCTCAAGGATCTTCAATAAGGGAGAGGGAAAGATCCATGATACTATTTGCCGATTTGCCGATTCTTGGTGAGATTGGTGAGATCGTTGCCCCCGACACTCTTAGGTTGTCAGTAGTTCTAGCACGATTAGAGTAACTAGTCTGTGGACTGTACGACTTTATAAAATATTTTTTTACAAAAATCAAACAAAAATCTCTTTTGCATGTTAAAAAGAACTCTGCATAAAAAAAAAACTTAAACAACAGTTTTTGCATGAAAATCAAATAATTAAATTTTTATAAAAATTTATAAAAGTCCATGGTTAGTCATTTGGATCGAGGTTAAGAACTACCTCTTGTAGATTGTCGAGTTGGCAACTCTTACTCAAGGTCGGGAAGCACACAGCCCAGCTCTGAGCCCTCACTTTTACCAATGTCTTATATCCAGTCCTGATCTTTCATATATGGCTAAGTGTTTCTTTCGCTCGTGATTTTTACAACTCATTTTTCTGACTTTCACGTTGAGTTTTCTCGTCTTGTTTAATTTTCTTGCAAATTTATTTAAATCTGTTTCAATAAATCTTTGCAAATTTATTTAAATCTGTTTCAAATCCTACTATGCTCGCAACATTAATAACGCAACAGTAGCAGATGCCCAGGTACTTTTTTTACAGTTCATCTACAGCATTTTACTTTATTGCATTATACCTTTCAAGTACATTTTATTTACCTGTGATTTGCTTATTCTGCATGCAAAACCAAAAATATATCTCTTTTATTAAATTAAATCTCAAAAATTATTGTTATATTCCTATTTTCAAATCTATCAAAAAGTTGACCGATAATGTGTGTGTGTTGGTCCCATGTTATGCTTGACTTGAGGGATGCACGTTATGCAAGCCTTCTTGTCTCTGACACGTGGGTGGATGGTCATTGGAATTTTCCTTTTCTTCTCAGTCTTGTGGGGCTGGATGGGGCTACTTTCATTGCATCAATTCCTATCGAGCCTCATATGCATGACACTCCGACTTTGAAATTGCCTACATCACGCTTGATTACCAAGTCTTTATATCCTTCTTTACATATTTTTAATAAGCTCCCTTAGTGGGAGAGTGTTTGGAGTTGGGCTTTGACCCCGTCCATGTCCTTCTTGGCTTGGAGGATCTTCCATTTGTTATTCCTTGCAATGATATTTTAAAATTGATGGGGTTGAAACTTGCTTCATCTTGTCTGTTGTGTAACGCGGCGGAGGAGTCTATTGAGCACCTTTTTTTTTCTTATGTCCCTACTCACGGTTTATTTGGCAGAAGGTTGGTCTTTGGTTTGGCATTAATTTGTCTCCTGCTCGGAATCTACTTTGTACCGTTATGGTTTATAACCCAGATCGAAAACAAAAACATTTTTCGTAAATTTATCCTTACATTATTTGTTGGTTTATATGGATGGCACGTAATGATATCAAACATGAGGGTAAAGTCATTCATAATACGACGGTCTTTACAAATATCATTGCATATGTTAATAAACTTTGTAAGGTGAGAGCTGCTAAACAGCTTTTTTCCGGGGCCAACGGTTTTGGTTGGGGGGAGGATACTGAAACTCCCGGTTTTGGTGAGATGGTGATCTCCTCCCACGGGGTGGGTAAAGTTTAACACCGATGGGAGCTGGAAATCTTGCGATGTTAGTTGTGGGGGCATTGCTAGGAATAATGTCGGGGACTGTATTTTTTTCTTCTCTTCTCCCTATTTCTCTGATACTCCTCTTGAAGCGGAGGCTAGGGCCATGTTGATGGTTGTTATGATAAATGCTTCTCTCAATTGGTAGTTTATTATCATTGAAAGTGATTCCCGCATTTTGATTGATATTATTGCTAATGGGGTTGATGCGTCGTGGGATATTCTCTATTATATTAAGAGGATTAAACTCATATCCTCTCATATTTCTGTTATTTGGAGGTTCATTCATCGTGAGGGGAATAGACCCGCTAATTGGCTTGTTGTTGTTGGTAGTACAAGTCAGAATTATTGGGTTGGCTCTGTCCCCCCTCCCCCTTTACACACTTTGGTTGTTGGGGGCAAAGTAGATGCTCCTTATGTCCGTCGTGATTGCCCCTACTAGCCTGCCTGTTTGGTGTCCCCTGTCTATTTGTTTTATGTTTCAGTTGCATGTCTTGTGCCTTTATTGGCACATTACTCTGGCTAGTTTATGGTTTTTTCTATGGCACAGAAGGCTCCTTTCCCATTCTTACTGCATGTATTTTCAGTTTATTTGGCTAGTTTGGATCCATTTGTTGGTGTTGATTCCTTATTTCGGTGTTTGGAGTTTAGGGTGTCCCTCGGGTTCCTCTCGAGAGGCTTTTATTATGTTGAGCATTTCAAGAATTCCTATATGTACTTATCCTTTTGTGGAATGCTGGATTTTGATTCCTCTGGACATTAATGCGACTGGGTCTTTTTGCTTGGCTGGACATTTCCTTCATATGGTCTGCATGAAGAATGCCTCCTTCGCTCGAAGACCTGCTGCACTACTGGGACAGGATTGGTCGGGACTTGTGTTACCTTCTTCTCTTTGTTTGCTACACTGTCTAATGCTGCTCTTTGCTACACATCTATTTGGTTGGAGATTTTTGGGTATAAGATCTTTTTTTTCCTTTTGGGTATACCATTTGTTTGTTTTTTTTTTTTGGGGGGTTTTTGATGTTTTGTAGGTGGTTGAGGACCCCCTTTATGTGTGAGTATTATATTTTTTTTGGATTTTTAGTTCAGGGGACCTCACCCCAACAACTTTTGTACTCACCTTTTTATCTAACACGTAGGGAGCCGAATCATTCTCCTTTCCCAAATATATATATATATATATATTGATGATTAGTATTTTTAAAAAAATTAATTGGAAATTAATGAGAAATATGTTAAAATTCGTGAAAGACAATATCAAAAACAAAAACAAACAAAAAACAAACAAAAGATATTTTACTCAAACATGTATGATCCTAGCATAACAACTGACTTTTGTATGTTTAGAGAATAAAACCTGGGCTTGTCTAGCAGCTCCATGCAGGGCAGCTTCCATCATTTCCCTTTCTTTCTTGACTATTTGCAGTTCAGCCAAAAGAATTCTGGAATCTGAGGGACTTGCTATCATATTCTGATAATTTGTTTCCTTACTGTCTTGAGAAACCTTCACTTGAGAACCTAGTTCCCTCAACTCATTGATGGCACCGAAATCAGCTAAATCTTTGGCTGGATCTTGCAATGAGATTCGTGAAGTAGGAGATTCTCCATCAAGAACTTCACTTAAATCCTTGATCTTGGAGATATTGGAGGGAGTTGAACCTGGAGATTCCACCTCAAGCCTTGATTGAACACTGTCATCTATATCAAAATGACCAGGAGAACCAATACAAGGCATGTCTTCTTCTTTCTCCGGGTTGTCATGAATTTTCTGAGAGTCCACAACATCATGGGAACTATCAGGAGCTGACAAAACAATAACATCATCCTGTTCTGTATCAGCAGAACTTTCTCCCATAATTTCCGCATACTGTGAGCCAACAATGGAAATCAACTCCTTTTCATTGTTTTCTGATGATAGATGCAATTTTCTGGGATCTGGCAAGTCTTCTTCAGCTTGTATGAAAACTGGATCTGGTTCAGCTTGACCCTTATCTGGCCCTAGAGCCTTGCTCAATGAGTTTGAGGGAGACTCAACGTCAGTTCTTCCTGTAGTTTCTGAAATCAGGTTTTCCTTCTCTAGAACAACCTCAGTTTCGGCTTTAGATATTGGTGACACTGCACCAGGAAGCTCATCTTGCTTTTCTTCAGATGCAAGATGTTCTGAAGTTTTCACTTTTTCAGATACTTCCACAGCACCCCCATCTCCTTTATTCCGCGGCTCCTCTCCCCTATTCCCCATGAAAGCCATGACAGGGTCGAAAAGTGCTTTCCTCTCTGCTGCGGAAGGCCATAGTCGAGAAGCTGAAGGTCCAAACATTGCACAAAAGCTAAGGTAAGAGGCGCCGCACTTTAATTTGTAGCAGCTAAAATAGCAATTAAGAACAATAACTTTATGCACACATAGTCCCCCAAACATTACTGAAAAAGTGTAAGAAAAAAAAATGCATGCTACTAACTCATAGTAAAAAATGCAAATTTGAAAAGCCTTACAGTTGTTGCTGCCTGTGATAGAAGCCATTTCTTCATATATAATGCAACACGTAACAACTAACAAAGATTCAAAATCCTTAAATTCTCTAGGGCTAAGGTTTGAACACAAAATTCACAGTATGAGAAGCGTTATCTTAAGCACGGCATTACCTTCACCACTGTCGGATTTCTCTTCCAAACCAAGAGCACTATCGAAATTCTTCTCAATATTCTTCACACTCTCGCTAAGCTTTGTCACAGCACCAGCTAGATCCGGGAAGCCGCCCAAAGAGACCTTCCCAAGCCATGCCATTCTACGGCCTCTTCAAGATTTGCTTCCACGGATCCGGACACCTAGCCTTCTTAGATCGCTCAAAGCATGCGACTCTGGATCAGAAAAATCCAAACGGCCTGAAGGCTTCAGATATCGAATTGGGTTAATCAATCAGCGGAAGCTACAGAAACTATGGAATCAAGGAGGAGGATACAAACGGACAACACACCTTGGCAGGAAAAGATTAGGAATTTGGAATTAGAGGAATATCAAGAGGAAATCTGCTCCGCAGCAGAATTTCACATTTGGATGAAGGTGTGAAGTATTAAAAATTAATTGGTTAGGTCAGCCCATTTGGCTTGTACGTTGCAGGCGCTGCGCGGCGGTGAATTTTAGCACGGGAACGAGCAAAGCGATCCGCACCGGGCTGCTTTTCACGATCAGAGGCTCTGTTTGGGACATTGTTATGGGTTAAGTTTTTCCATTATTTTTATGTTGTAGTTGTGCAGCACTTGTTTATCATACAAAAATTTTTTTCCTCCTATATTGTCCTGTTGTTGATAACATAATCAGTTCATATTGAATAATTCATACGTAAAAATAGAAATTAAATTCAATATCTCAAAAAACTCGTATATTATAACTAAAAACTAACGTCTTATTAAACAGAAAGTAACATAGCAAGCAACAAAAGTAACATAGAAAGCAACATTAAAAATAAAACTATTAAATAAAACTATTAAATAAAACTATTAAAACAATAATTAAAATTATAAATTAAAATTATAATGAGATTGAATTTAAAATGAAGATGATCAAGTTCACTAGATAACTTAAACTCTCCACACCAAATCACAATCTGAGGTTGAATCTTCTCACTCATCCGCTTACCCGAAGATGTCACAGTCTTTCACTGATCTATTACTTAGGCACCTGTAAAATATTCTCCTATGGCTATGCTCCTTGCGTGAAGTATGCAAAGAACATTGCACTCTACATTAGTAATTCAAAACTTTAGAGACGCCGAAAGACCTCAAACTCATATTTTCTAAATGTTTAAAATCAGAAACCACAAAGAAATAGATGCAACATTAAGTAAAAAGAATAATCGAAATATACAATTAAAGTTTTATAAAACTGTGTGGTCTCAAAGCAAAAAGGATAAATTGATGAATAGTTTGTCACTAAAAAAAGAAATAAGACCTTATAGAAAGATTTTGATTGTCTTTAAATCATGTAATATCGAGCATGTATGTATCACAGAAGCACATCACCACAAAACCTTCCAGAAGAACCTGCAGTCATATGATTAAAAAATAATGAGATATTGATTGCATTAAAATCATGTATTACTGAGCTTGTATGTGTCATAGAATCACATCACCACAAAGGTCATCCAGAAGAACCTTTAATGTCATTTATGTTGTCATAGACCTCAAAACCAAAAAAAAAAAAAAACATATGAGAAAAATATATATATTAAACTCGCGGTAGCCTAGAGGTCGTTCATATTGGAAAAAATACATACAAAAAAAAGGAAAAGTAAATTGCACCTAATTGAATTCTAAGTGAACATCATTGCATATAGCATCATTACAATAAGAAATAAACATTTTTGCAACGCATTGCACATGACTATAGAAAATGCAGCGTAGAACTTCCTTTCACCCATTAACTATTTCACTTGTAATTTACTCTCTCAGCTCCATCATCTCCTTAACACCTTTCACATTTTGTGTACAATACTCATGTAAATTAGATTCACCTTGTGATATTGATTGGCCTAGGCTATATTATAGGGACATGTGATTGATCCTCATCTACAATGTTGAAATCAATATCACTATATGAAGGATGCCGACGAATGCACTTATAGAGAGTCATTGTAGTGATCATAATCTTCACTTGTTTGTTAAAAGAATATGTGGGAATATCTTGCAAAATGAATCCTTTGCAAAATGAATCATTTTTTTTCAAGCTCCAAATATCCTCTCAATAACACTGAAGTAAAAATGAGTTCCTTTTATTAAACATCTCTCATTTGTGTCAAACTATGTTGTTGGCCCTTTCAAAATTAAGAATATGATATTTTGTATCATGTAATGGTTTGAGATACATTTTTAAATAGATATCTAGCATCAACAAAATAATATTTCTCTGTTATAAGTATATTCATTAGTATTGTAATGAAACAAATATTTTATTTATTAATATTCAAGCAAACTTGTAGATGACTTTAGAAAGGTGTATTTATGAGTTCACGTGACAAATTTGAATATACTACTACCGTGTGCAATGCATTTCCATCCAATCATCACAAAAGTGAAACACAAATTAAAATCATATGCAGCCATAATGTTGTGTGTTTATGAACCACAACATCGAAAGTATCCAATCTTTTCATTGTTGAATAAGTATGCATTCACATGTGTTCCATCAATTTCTTCAATGTAGTCCTAGGTCATTTATGTAATATACTAGAGTTATTAAAATTAATAAAATTTTAAAATAAATGAAAATAGAAATCTACCTTGAAATATGACATCTAGCATTGATCTTGTGAAATCTTTACAAGGGTGCTTTGGAAAGTAGGGTCTTCATATCTAATAATTTTTAAGGATAAGCTAGTCAAAGCATCCAAATCAATTGAAAAATATCTGTTAATTGTTTATGATGAATGTCAGAATTACTCCATGGCTCCCCTCATAGACTCTATTTATGATAAAATATAGAAAGTTAAAGCTAGCACTGTTGAACTAGTTTTTGTATGAGATCTTTCCTCTCTATGTAGAAGCCTAAGATCTAGCCTCATCATTTTTCTAGTGGCTCTTGACAATCCTAAAAATTACCTACTTTTTATATACATTGTATGCTAATTTTTAATGATATTGCACTTTAAAGAAAGGTATTTTTGCCAAAGGAAGGTATTTTGCATGTTTTTTATTCCAGGCATTAGAAATGGATTTTTTGAGAAAATGAAACAAAAATGGTACAATTTAGAGTTAAATTGAGTAAGGAAGAAAATTATGTTCTTGCTCATTTTGATATGGTTTTCTATTCTTAACCTCATTTACATTTATCACATATTTTTGAATGAAATTGCACTTTAACGAAATATTATTTTCATGTTTATCTTGTAGTTATAATATTTGGAGTGGATTGGAGCTGAAATGGGGCGAAAAGGAGCGAAACAAAGAGAAATTGGGGTGCTGCCAGCAGGATGGCGCCTAAGCCAGTCTCGCTCAGTTCTAGCGCCTAAGCCAGTTTCGCTCAGTTCTGGCGCCATGGTGCCACATTTTGGCACCTAGGCACCAGAAATGGTTTTGGACGGCTTCTAAACGCCCCAAGGAGTTATAAGGTGGTTTTTTGTACTTGGAATGGAACCTTTTGGCATTTGAAAGTATTGGAATTGCCAAGAACGCCTAGAGGACATAGATAGGAGTATGAAATGTAGAAGCGTTATCTTAAGCACGGCATTACCTTCACCACTGTCGGATTTCTCTTCCAAACCAAGAGCACTATCGAAATTCTTCTCAATATTCTTCACACTCTCGCTAAGCTTTGTCACAGCACCAGCTAGATCCGGGAAGCCGCCCAAAGAGACCTTCCCAAGCCATGCCATTCTACGGCCTCTTCAAGATTTGCTTCCACGGATCCGGACACCTAGCCTTCTTAGATCGCTCAAGGCATGCGACTCTGGATCAGAAAAATCCAAACGGCCTGAAGGCTTCAGATATCGAATTGGGTTAATCAATCAGCGGAAGCTACAGAAACTATGGAATCAAGGAGGAGGATACAAACGGACAACACACCTTGGCAGGAAAAGATTAGGAATTTGGAATTAGAGGAATATCAAGAGGAAATCTGCTCCGCAGCAGAATTTCACATTTGGATGAAGGTGTGAAGTATTAAAATTTAATTGGTTAGGTCAGCCCATTTGGCGGGCGCAATCGCGGCGGTGAATTTTAGCACGCGAACGAGCAAAGCGATCCGCACCGGGCTGCTTTTCACGATGAGAGGTTCTGTTTGGGACATTGTTATGGGTTAAGTTTTTCTATTGTTTTTATGTTGTAGTTGTGCAGCACTTGTTCATCATACAAAAAAATTTTTTCCTCTTATACTGTCCTGTTGTTGATAACATGATCAGTTCATATTGAATAATTCATACGTAAAAATAGAAATTAAATTCAATATCTCAAAAAACTCGTATATTATAACTAAAAACTAACGTCTTATTAAACAGAAAGTAACATAGCAAGCAACATTAAAAATAAAACTATTAAAACAATAATTAAAATTATAATGAGATTGAATTTAAAATGAAGATGATCAAGTTCACTAGATAACTTAAACTCTCCACACCAAATCACAATCTGAGGTTGAATCTTCTCACTCATCCGCTTACCCGAAGATGTCACAGTCTTTCACTGATCTATTACTTAGGCACCTGTAAAATATTCTCCTATGGCTATGCTCCTTGCGTGAAGTATGCAAAGAACATTGCACTCTACATTAGTAATTCAAAACTTTAGAGACGCCGAAAGACCTCAAACTCATATTTTCTAAATGTTTAAAATCAGAAACCACAAAGAAATAGATGCAACATTAAGTAAAAAGAATAATCGAAATATACAATTAAAGTTTTATAAAACTGTGTGGTCTCAAAGCAAAAAGGATAAATTGATGAATAGTTTGTCACTAAAAAAAGAAATAAGACCTTATAGAAAGATTTTGATTGTCTTTAAATCATGTAATATCGAGCATGTATGTATCACAGAAGCACATCACCACAAAACCTTCCAGAAGAACCTGCAGTCATATGATTGAAAAATAACGAGATATTGATTGCATTAAAATCATGAATTACCGAGCTTGTATGTGTCACAGAATCACATCACCACGAAGGTTATCCAGAAGAACCCTTAATGTCATTTATGTTATCATAGACCTCAAAACAAAAAAAAAAAAAACATATGAGAAAAATATATATATTAAACTCACGGTAGCCTAGAGGTTGTCCATATTGGAAAAAATACATACAGAAAAAAATGAAAAAGTAAATTGCACCTAATTGAATTCTAAGTGAACATCATTGCATATAGCATCATTACAATAAGCAATAAACATTTTTGCAACGCATTGCACATGACTATAGAAAATGCAGCGTAGAACTTCCTTTCACCCATTAACTATTTCACTTGTAATTTACTCTCTCAGCCCCATCATCTTCTCAACACCTTTCACATCCTGTGTATAATACTTATGTAAATTAGATTCACCTTGTGATATTGACTGGCCTAGGCTATATCGTAGGGACATGTGATTGATCCTC